ATCAGTTTGGAGGGAGAGAGTATGGAGGGGTGAACCTTTCAGATATTTGGGAGTGGACGGCAGGGGAGGGTCTATGAAAGATGAGGTGAATCATAAAAATTGATGGGAAAAAGAGTGAGTGGTGCACTTAGGAGTCTGTGGAGACAAAACTTTTCCTTGGAGGAAAAGAGGGAATGTATGAGAGTATAGTTTTACCAACGCTTTTATATGGGTGTGAAGCGTGGGTGAGAATTTGCGCGAGGAAAAGGCGGGGGCAGGGGGAATTCATTCTGAGGGCAATTTGGTGTGAATAAAAGCAGAGAATTCGTAGGGGGAAAGTTAGGGGAGGTGGGGGGATGACCAAACTGTTGTCCAGGGGGCTGGGGAAGGTTGTTGAGGGGGTTCGGACTGTGAGAAAGGAGCGAAACAGAATGATTTAAAGGGTTCATCTGTAGGGAAGGAAGGGGGGGTAGGGGTGGCCGGGAAAAGGTTGGAGGGGGGGGTAAAGGGGGTTTTGTGTCGAGGGGCTTGGATTCCAGCAGGCAGATGAGGTGTTTGATAGAGTGAAGGAGAACAAATGGTTTTTAATACTTTGAGTGCTTTTGGAGGTGAGAAAGTAACTTTTAAATAAAGGGATTCGGGGAACCGCAGGCCGGACTGGCCCCTGGAGATGGGAAGTACAGTGCCTGCATCTGAAGGGGGGGTTTAAGTTGCAGTTTAAAAACGTAGTTAAAGCCCCTTTCTGGCAAGACAGTGGGGAGTAAAATGAGGTGAAAGTTTTTCTTTTTCGGGCCCACCCCCCTTGGGGGAACGGGCCCGTGTGATAATTAAAAAAAAAAAAAAAAATTAAAAGGGACTAAAGTAAAATTTTGGTGAACAAAAAAGTGTACAAAAAAGGAGCTTGGGGAAAATGATAGTAGGGAGTACTTTAAAGGTAATTCTTTAAAAATTAGAATTAGGGAAAACAAATAAAAAGGGGCTAATATAAGTTTGGGAACAATAAAGTGGTAATCAATAAATGAGCTTTGGGAAATAATGGCAAAATTGTGAAATTATTACACTTTACACCTGGAATACCCTGATTTTTTAACAATTGTAATGTATAATAGGGGAGTTATATAAAGCTAAATAAAGGGGAAAAAATATAAGGGGGCTAAAAATTAAATAATGTAAACAAAGTTAAATGGCAGATAGTCACTATAAAAATATTTGGGTTTTGGAGTAAATCTGTTTGTAATTTAAATAATTTTAGCAGTTTTTTTGCACAATAAAAAGTAAAAAAATTAAAGGGAGTTGGTACTAGCTAGCAAAAGAAGTTTTGGGGGCTTGCAAAAAATAAATTTGGGAAAATTTCACAAAATTTCACACACAATAAAAAGTAACTAAAAAACAATAGTGGTAAACAAAAATTTAAAAAGGGCAGGAAAAACAATAATAAAATTTAAATTTGGGGTAAGTTTGACTTGTAACACAAAAATTTTGAGCAATTAATAGCAGTAAGAAAGAAGTAAAAGTACGAGGTAGTTTCATTTGCTAGTGATGAAAAATAAAAAAAAAAAAATAATGCACAATAAAAAAGTAACGTAAAACTTTTGCACCACCGATATATGTATTTTTAAGGCACTTATCTAATCTGTTACGAAAGTCCGCTTTTCAAAAAAAGGGAGAGAAATCAGTTGTTTGGGGATGTATATTGTTGCCTGTTGAGTTTTCCCTAGTATTTTTCCCCTCTCGCGGAAAAACTATGAAATTTTTTTTTTCCTGTTTAAGTTTTCTCAGCCGAACAGAAAGGTTTTACGTTTTCTTGTTGACCTCATTTTTTACACTCCCTTTTTTTTGAATTGCTTTATTAATTAGGTCCTTTTTTTTATCGTATGAAAAGTCTGATCATTATATGTGTTTACTTCCTGGGTTTTCCTAGCAAACGTTTTCTTTTATTTTATTGTTTTGCACGAGATTTATGGGTTCTGTATTATCCTGATAGCAATTTCTTTGCACTGTGCTTGGGGTTTGTCACAAGGAATGTGTGGACTGCTTATTATAACTGCATCAGACAACTTGTCTTGTTCAGTTTTGTCGTCTTGGAAATCAAGGCATTCATTTAGTCAAGTGTGCATGTTCTGATTTCAGTCCTTGATTGCTTCTTCAACCTTCATATTTATTGTTGTTATTTGTTCAGTGTGACTGGCTATAGCTGTTTTCCCAGAGTATTTTCTGTGTCAACACTTCCCAATGTAATTTTCTCTTCAAGGTTTTGGATCTTGTTCTCGAGGTTGGTTATCTTGGATTCATGTCGCTCGAGTGTTGCTTTGATATCTTTGATTTCGTTTTCTAGAGCAACGATGTAGTCCTTGATATTGTCAGGAACAATCATACCTGAATTATCATGGGTGAATCCTTTGAAGGGAGTGGAGTGGTGGGGGAGTCAGCCATGTTTGTTGTTGTTGTTCCCCCCGGGGGGGTGTGGTGAGGGGTTGATGATCCCACCGGTCCTGCTGGGGTAGACAAGTTGAGTTCTAGGGTCCTTGCTGTTATTCTTTATTACGATGTTGTTTCTTCTGCGATACCTTTCATAGTATCACTGAAGTAGATACTGTGTAGCAATGGAGGAGAAGGCTTGTTTTCTCAGAGCTTGGGTTAAGTGGTTGTCTGGCAGCAGAGGCAGTGTTTGGGTTAGCAGGGCTGTCTTCCTTAGATCTTCTAATTTTGTCAAGATTTGGGTTACATTCTTAGTATTCTTGGGTCATTTTGTGGTCTACGTGGGTTCATGTAGTTGTACTTTCACTTAGGCCATCACAAGTTTTGATGAGTGATGGTTTTTTGAGGAAAAAGAGCTGGTAGGATGCCGCTGCTGCTGCTGCCACCGCCTTCTCCCCAATCAATAATATATAATATATAATATAATAATATGTAATAGTACAATAATAATTGTAATAATAATAGTACATGTATGTACATACTGCATATAATTTAGTTTGACAACACCACCACCAGATAGCAGTGTCAATCAAAACAATGGTCACCATTGCACATGTGCTTACGGAGCTACCTTCACGGTGCAAGGAATTCTCGTGATTTCCTTACGTTTTGTGCAGTTAATTCGCCAGATTTCTTTCTTCTGACCATGGGTCCTAAGAAAGCAAGTGCAGTGGATAGTGCCGAGAAGAAAAAGAGGATGATTTGCATGGAATTAAAGCAAGAAATGATTAATAAGCACAGACTAGGTATGAGGGTTGAGGACTTAGCGAGTTGAGTACAAGCATAGCCCTTCTACTATGTGTACAGTACTAAAGCAGGAGTCTGTAAAGGCTATAGTGCAAGCAAAGGGCATTACAGTAATTTCTAAGCAATTGACCTCTGTCAGTGAGAAGATGGAAAAGCTGCTGTTGTCGTGGTTGACGGAGAAACAGCTCACGGGAAATACAGTGGACCCCCGCATAACGATGGCATCACATAGCGATTTTTCCGCAAACCGATTTTCTTTTTTTGCAAAATTTTTGCCGCGCATACCCCATTTTAAAAAACCCCTTTTCCGATTTCGTCCCAGACGCGTCCCAAATTTTCCCTCACAAGGGGCCGGGCCCTCCCATTGTTTACCACCTCCTCCGGAACATCCAAGATACACTCGGAAATTTTCGAAAATTACAGTGTTTTTTGGTGCTGTTTCTGGAAAATAAGTGACCATGGCCCCCCAAAAAAAGCTTCTAGTGCCAACCCCGGGTAAAAAGGGTGAGAATTAGTATGGAAATTAGAAAGATTTTGAAGGGTTTGGGGCTAACCTGAGAACCCCCATGCCATTGTGGAATTCCCTTTTCCTACTTCAAAGATTAAGGAAAATTTTGCACAGTGGGTTTAACTGCAAAAACCCTTTTTAGATAAAATCACCCTGACACAGCTGTTGCAAAACCGTCTGGTGACTATTTCAAGACAAGTTATGGGGCCCATTTTGGGAAAATCTGAAGAACGGAGGACAGAGCTCATGGACAGATTTGTTGTGCCACAGGGTCCAGTGACTCCAAACTGGGCCCAGTGGCATTTAAAAGAAGAGGGAAGTAAACCCCAAAAAGGACTTGCTCCTCAAGTCCTAATGGAAGGGATTCCCCTTCTAAAAGTAAGAAAAAATGCTCCCCCCCCCCCCATCCCATCAAACATCACCCGATCTTCAATAAAAGTAAGTGTCATTTAATTGTGCATGCCTTTTTCAGTTTGTGTGTATTAAAATTAACATTTCATGTGGTAAAAAAAAATTTTTTTCATACTTTTGGGCGTCTTGCACGGATTAATTTTATTTCCATTATTTCTTATGGGGAAAATTCATTCGCATAACGATTATTTCGCATAACGATGAGCCCTCTTGCACGGATTAAAATCGTTAACCGGGGGTCCACTGTACGTAGTGTAGTTAGACAAACAAAAATTGTACATCGCAGTTCTTAAGAAAAGTGTGAACTCCTGACAGGATATGCAACTCTGAATTTCTTCTCCAAGGTATGTAAATGCCGTATGTACACCAGATCTAATTCAGTTAGCCTCACAAACTCTGTTTTCTCTTATAACATCTCTGACGTTTTCATAGTGAGAATGTGTGACCACTCCCAACCACAATCCTCCTCCCTCTGCCATCCATGTAATGACATATTTTATTCATTCTAGAGTGTATATCAAGTTTCTATGTTATTTATATTGTTTATTATGTCATATTGGATGAATTGTGACATAAATAAGCCGTAGAGTTGTTATTAGGGTTATTTTGTCATGCCTCCTGAGAGCAGGAATTCAGCTGGAACGAATTAATTGCATTTCAATTAATTTAAATGAGGAAAATTGACCCAGCATACGAACAAAACGGGATACGAACAAGTCCATGAAACGGATTAAATTCGTAACCCGAGGTTCCACTGTATAGTCAATCTCAAAGGATTTCTAATTTTCCTTAAGAAAGTTGGATGTTAGGACTAAATGAAACACAGTATATATTTAAATACTTTATTGTTTATCTCTTCCATGAAAAACTCTTACAGGTCAATAAAGCAAGGGATGGAAAGGTCATTGACAGTGGATGCCATGCACTCACAGCGTCTTATGTGCGCTCTAGGGCTCAGCGGGATGACACTATTCCTCAGTGCGATTTTTTTGAAAAGTTTGATCTACATGGCAAGGAATTTCCTATTCCTGCTGGATGCTACAATATTGATGACCTTCGTGAATTTGGAAATCAGAAAGGATGGTGCCCTTTTTTTTTTTTTTAGCTCGGCATCCCTGTAAGTATTTTTTTTTTTCTAAAATTAATTTTTTTTAAGTTATTCAAAAAAATGGTTCAAAATTTTATAGACAGGGTTTTTTTCTTGCATTTAACTTTTTAAAAAGGTCTGCATTATATTTTTTTAAGACAGCATCCTTTTAAAGAAAATTTAAAATTTTTAAAAAATTTTTTGGGGTTTTGTTAAAGGAAATACGGGTACCATCCAACTTATGACCGAGTTGGGTTTCCTGAAAAAACCGGTCTTTTAAGTTGAAAGGGCGTAAATTGAATTTGCTATAAATATCAACACACTTTTTTTTGGTAAAAATTTTTATTTTTTTTTTTTTTTGGGTTTTTCCCCATTTTTTAAATTTTTGACTTTTTATGTTTTTTTAAATCCCTGAAATTTTATACCGGGTTTAAAGGGGGATAAACACTGTTTTCAACAAAAACCAGTTGTTTTTTTTCCCCAGAAATTTGGAAATAAAAAACAGGGTCGTAATCAAGGGGTCGATGTCAGCGGGTTTTTAAGTCAGATGGATTTAAAATGCTCGGGTTTATGGGGGGTTTTGGATGCATAAATTTTGGTGAGCTTCATTTATCATTCTTACATTTGTTTTTGTGTCTTTCGGGTATTGCAGGGCGGATGTTTTTTTTCCCTAAGTTACCACTATTATTAGACCCAAAGTTTTCTGAGATTGTTTCAAAAGAAATTAAAAAAAAAAGAATCTTGTGTATCTTGATGAAGCTAAACAATTTTGGAAAATCACTTTGTAAAGTTTTTTTTAATTAAATATGGGGGAACAGAAACCACATTTTTTGGGTGCCCCTAGTGTATTTAACATACATCACAATCATCATAGGGGAAAATGTAAACAGGGGCCCAATTTTTTCCTCTACTAGACAATGACATATTTTTTATACTTCCCTCCCTTCCCTTCTTTGTTTAGAAATGACTTGCTGTAAAATTTTTTCACTGGAATTTGAAACTTTTTCTAATTTTAAATGGGAAATTTTTTGTTTTATAAATAAAAAATAACTATCCCTTAATTCTTATCATTTAAGAAAAAAAAAAAAATTGAGAAAAAAAAATTTTGAAATGTTAATATTATGAAGCATTTATTTAACATTCAGATAAAATTAAAATTTTTCAATTTATTTTTATGAAGTTTTCCCTGATTGCACCCAAACATTATTCATTTGCTAATCCACATATTCAAGACCTTAATAAAAGGATTACAAGTAATCAATCCTATGTGCAGTTTTTTCCCCCCTTTTTTCTTCTTTCATTTTTAAAACAGGAGTCTACATTCCTTTAGTTTTTTGTGGCACTTTTGTAAAATTTACTCTTCCACAGAAGTCTCTAACCCTAATTGTTTATTTTTTTTCTTATTTTGACATTTTTCCAAAAAAAGGGGGGTTTTCCTTGAACATAAGTATTTGGTGAGCTTCATTTATCATTCTTACATTTGATTTGTGTCTTTCAGGTATTGCATGTGGATGTTGTTGTCTATAGTTACCTCTACTTATTAGATCCAAAGATTTCTGAGATTGTATCAAAAGAGTTTAAAAAAGAATCTTGTGTAGTCTTTGATGAAGCTCACAAGAGAAGAAGAAAAACTTTATAAAACTGGGATGCTTGAATGTGCGTGGATGTAGTGCGGATGACAAGAAAGAGATGATTGCTGAAGTTATGAATGAAAAGAAGTTGGATGTCCTGGCACTAAGCGAAACAAAGCTGAAGGGGGTAGGGGAGTTTCGGTGGGGGGAAATAAATGGGATTAAATCTGGAGTATCTGAGAGAGTTAGAGCTAAGGAAGGGGTAGCAATAATGTTGAAGGATCAGTTATGGAAGGAGAAAAGAGAATATGAATGTGTAAATTCAAGGATTATGTGGATTAAAGTAAAGGTTGGATGCGAAAAGTGGGTCATAATAAAGCGTGTATGCACCTGGAGAAGAGAGGAATGTAGAGGAGAGAGAGAGATTTTGGGAGATGTTAAGTGAATGTATAGGAACCTTTGAACCAAGTGAGAGAGTGTGGTAGGGGACCTGAATGCTAAAGTAGGAGAAACTTTTAGAGAGGGTGTGGTAGGTAAGTTTGGGGTGCCAGGTGTAAATGATAATGGGAGCCCTTTGATTGAACTTTGTATAGAAAGGGGTTTAGTTATAGGTAATACATATTTTAAGAAAAAGAGGATAAATAAGTATACAAGATATGATGTAGGGCGAAATGACAGTAGTTTGTTGGATTATATATTAGTAGATAAAAGACTGTTGAGTAGACTTCAGGATGTACATGTTTATAGAGGGGCCTCAGATATATCAGATCACTTTTTAGTTGTAGCTACACTGAGAGTAAAAGGTAGATGGATAATCAACGGAGAATAGAAGCATCAGGGAAGAGAGAGGTGAAGGTTTATAAACTAAAAGAGGAGGCAGTTAGGGTAAGATATAAGCAGCTTTTGGAGGATAGATGGGCAAATGAGAGCATAGGCAATGGGGTCGAAGAAGTATGGGTAGGTTTAAAAATGTATGTTAAAAAGGGCACAAAGTTTGTGGTTACAAAAGTGGGTGCGGGGGGAAGGGAGCGATTTGTGGATGATGATGTAAACAGGTAGTAAGGGGGAAAAAGTTGCATATGAGAAGTTTTTTCAAAGTAAAGTGATGCAAGGAGGGAAAAGTTATTTGGGGA